AGGACAAGAAGGAACGGATGGAAACTGATCAAGGAGAGAAGCAGCCTAGAACTAAGGAGAAACTTCCTGACAGTTAGAACAATTAACCAGTGGAACAACCTGTCTCTAGAAGTTGTGGATGCTCCATCACTGGAAGTTTTGAAGAAGAGACTGGATAACCATTTGTCCGAAATGGTGTGTAGGGTTTCCTGCCTGAGCAGGGGATTGGACTACATGACCTCCAAGGTCCCTTCCAACTTTACTACTACTACTATTATTATTATTATTATTATTATTATTATTATTATTATTATTATTATTATTATTATTATTATTATAGATTAATGTGTGTGAGAGATGCAGGATTGGTACTCTCAAGAAACGGACTTGTTCCTCTTTGCCAAGATGGCTATTTAGCATCCATAAAGCGCTGCTTTATAAAATTATTATTATTATTATTACTTTTCTTGCCGTATTTGTTAAATCAGTGGTTCTCAACCTGTGGGTCGGGACCCCATTTGGGGTCGAACGACCATTTCACGGGGGTCGCCAAACAAGGCTGTCCGCTATTTCCCCCCCTTTTCTTTGGCCACGCCCCTGGGACCCGGTGATGTATAAGTGGTTGGGGGTCACCACAACATGGGGAACTGTATTATGGGGTCGCGGCATTAGAAAGGTTGAGAACCACTGTGTTAAATGAACCACTGCAGTTGTTAAGTTAGTGAGCAAGCGGCCGCAGAAGAACTGGGGCAGTGGCGTGATAAGTGTGGGGGCGTAGGAGGCCTAGCTGTGGCGGTCCTAAAGTAAGCGGGTAAGACACCCCCTCCCCCCGAAAATAAGACTTGGTGCCTCTTTTAGAGGCAAAAAGAAAACATAAGAACCGGGTCTTATTTTCGGGGAAACACAGTAGGAGCCGAGGGCTTGGCAGCCCAAGGAAACAACTGCCAATCATCGCTGTCGTGGAAAAAACCCAATGAAAAAGACAAGAGGCAGCAACACAAAACAATAATTCTTACTTTAAGATTCAGAGGTTTATTTTGCTAATAATTTGGAATATAGCAAACATAATAACACCACACCACTTACCTTAGTAACCCATTGCAATGAGGTCCAGTGACATAGCAGGTCCAGCAAGGACAGCTATAGGCCAGTGGCAAATCAATCGGGTCCAGTCCTAACTTTTTATACTTTCTCATCCTATGATGGTCAGCAACCTTACACTTTCTGCTGAACATAACTTTCTACATACTCGTGTACATTGGAACCTGCCTCCATCAGCTGCTTTCAGTCCCCTATTTCTTACTGTTCCAGTCCTTGCGTTCTGAATACATTTAAAAACAAGCAATGAGGTCCAGTGACATAGCAGGTCCAGCAGGGACAGCTATAGGCCAGTGGCAAATCAATCGGGTCCAGTCCTAACTTTTTATACTTTCTCATCCTATGATGGTCAGCAACCTTACACTTTCTGCTGAACATAACTTTCTACATACTCGTGTACATTGGAACCTGCCTCCATCAGCTGCTTTCAGTCCCCTATTTCTTACTGTTCCAGTCCTTGCGTTCTGAATACATTTAAAAACAAGCAATGAGGTCCAGTGACATAGCAGGTCCAGCAGGGACAGCTATAGGCCAGTGGCAAATCAATCGGGTCCAGTCCTAACTTTTTATACTTTCTCATCCTATGATGGTCAGCAACCTTACACTTTCTGCTGAACATAACTTTCTACATACTCGTGTACATTGGAACCTGCATCCATCAGCTGCTTTCAGTCCCCTATTTCTTACTGTTCCAGTCCTTACGTTTTGAATATATTTAAAAACAAGCAAGCTTACCAAAATCGTATTAAGTAAAGTACAATTGCAAACTGCAAAATTAAGCCTAGCCCAGACTTTGCTTCAATACTTTTCCCATGAGGCCTGATTTAGTTCACCTGGACCTAAACCTGGCATAGAAAAACAATAGCCAATATTTTCGTCTTCCACACCGGCCATCAACACACCAATCAACCAATAGGACGGCACCACGTAAATATGAAGCATAGAAGAGCCCAGAGGTCCCCTGAGGATGGACCCCACCATGAGCCCGAAAGCTCAAAAGATTATATCTCTGGTCCCAGTGACCAACCCAGGTTGCATCTTGAATAGGTTTCTTCCCCTCAACTTTGCCTGGACATACATCCAAGATCACCGCAGATGGGGACGGCAGCCAAGAAATTAAAAGACGCTTGCTCCTGGGGAGGAAAGCTATGGCAAATCTAGACAGCATACTAAGAAGCAGAGAAATCACCCTGCCAACAAAAGTGCGTATAGTCAAGGCCATGGTTTTCCCAGTTGTAATGGACAGCTGTGAAAGTTGGACCATAAGAAAGGCTGAGCGCCAAAGAATGGAGGCCTTTGAACTCTGGTGCTGGAGAAGACTCCTGCAAGTCCCCTGGACTGCAAGGCGATCAAACCGGTCAGTCCTGGAGGAGATCAACCCCGACTTCTCTTTAGAAGGCCAGATCCTGAAGTTGAAACTCAAGTACTTTGGCCACCTAATGAGAAGGAAGGACTCACTGGAGAAGAGCTTGATGCTGGGAAAGATGGAGGGCAAGAGAAGAATGGGATGACAGAGAACGAGGGGGCTGGATGGAGTCACTGAAGCAGTAGGTGTGAACTTAAATGGACTCCAGAAGATGGTAGAGGACAGGAAGGCCTGGAGGAATGCTGTCCATGGAGTTGCGATGAGTAGGACAGGACTTCGCAACTAACAACAACAACATCCAAAATTGGGTAAGCCAAGAAATCAGCTAAGGGCTCTGGAAATGTTAGAAAATGATCATTTTGGAAGTACAAAATCAATTTAGTGGTTCATTGGCAATACCCCTTGCATTTCAAGGCCCTCCAGTTGATGGGTGGGCAACCTTTAACAGATGCCAGGTAGTAAGTGAAAATAAGATTGGACCATGCTTATATAGAATAGAGCTGGAAAGGACCTTGGAGGTCTTCTAGTCCAGCCCCCCGCTTAAGAAGGAAAACCTACACCATCTCAGACAGGTGATTGTCTAGTCCAGTGATGGCGAACCTCTTAGAGACCGAGTGCCCAAACTGCAACCCAAAACCCACTTATGTATCGTCGGGTGCCGGGTGGGCATAGCCCATTGGGTGGGTGTGGCAATAGGGCGGGTGTGGCTAATTGGGTGGGCATGGCCCATTGGGTGGGCGTGGCTACGGTAGTAAAGGCAGACTAGGTCAGACTAAAAAGTTCAACCAATCAATTCCAACTTTGCAAGATCTTTTTTTTTCCATGAGAAGGTGAATTGATTGATTGATTGATTGATTGCTTGCTTGATTTTTTTTTTTTTTGCACATGGCGGCAGAGACCTAAAGCGAACAGGTTTTATAAAACCCAGCTGAAGGCCTAGGATTGGGACAACAGCGCACGTGCCCACAGAGACGGCTCTACATGCCACCTGTGGCATACGTGCCATAGGTTCACCACCATGGGTCTAATCTTTTCTTAAAGATCTCCAAGGATGGGGCGCCCGTGATTTCTGGTGGCCAGCTGTTCCACTGGTTGATTGTCCTCACTGTTAGGAAGTTTCTCTTTAATTCCAGGTTGCTTCTCTCCTTGGTCAGTTTCCAACCATTGTTTCTCGTCCTTCCCTCTGGTGCTTTGGTGAACAACCTGGCCCCTTCTGCCTTGTGGCAGTCCCTCAGATACTGGACTACTGCTATCACGTGTCCCCTATTTCTTCTTTTCTCCTTATGCTCTGTTGCAACAAGTCATTTACATATTGATGGAGCAATATGCAAAAAAAAAAATCCCACTGCCAAGAACTGCATTTGCTCACGATAAAATCAAGATCCCTTGTTTTTCTTCCTTTCTTGTGAATAAACAGCATATTGGCTCACGCAGGCTATTTATTCCTTCCAATGAAAAATGATTGTGCCATCTCAGCTCGTGTTCCATGGAAGCCCTGATCGAAAAAGAGCAGCAAGCTGTCTTTTTTTGGGAACCCGCACTAAGGATCTCAAAATCTTCCATCCGAAACTTTTACTTTAGTCAGCCCAGTCAGGAAGTGGACTGAACACAGTGCTTTTTGCTCAGATGTGTGTCTGGTAAATGGGGGTTGGATCCAGCTTTTATCGTAACAGAAATAGATATATTGATATAAGTAGTCATTCTAACTATTGCCGTGGTGGTTAGAATGCAGTATTGCAGGCTGACTCTGCCGACTGCCAGCAGTTCGATCCTAACCAGCTCAAGGTCAACTCAGTCTTCCATCTTCCGAGGTCGGTAAAATGAGGACCCAGATTGTTGGGGGGGCAAAGTGCTGACTCTGTAAACCGTTTAGAGAGTGCTGTAAAGAATAGTGGGGCAGTATGTAAGTCTAAATGCTATTGCTATGTCTATAAATTTATAAATATATTAAATCTATGGGATTTAAGTCCAATCCACTGCCTATGTAAGCTTATCCGAAATTAGCAATCATGCTCCTATTTGTTTTATGTACTATGTATAAGAGCCAGTTTGGTCTAGTGCAGGGGTAGGCATCCTTGACTCTTTTATGACTTGTAGACTTCAACTTCCAGAATTCCTGAGCCGGCATGGCTCAGCATGGAAACCTCTCCGTTTCTCCTCAGCATGGCTGGCTCAGGAATTCTGGGAGTTGAAGTCCACGAGTCATAAAAGAACCAAGGTGGCCTATCCCGGTATAGGGTTTCCTGCCTGAGCAGGGGGTTGGACTAGATGACCTCCAAGGTCCCTTCCAACATTATCACCATCATCGTCATCATTATTATTTATGGTGGCAAAAAGGTGATCACCTGACCTCAAGACACGACAACAGTTGTAAATATGAACATCTTTCTTAATTTTGATCACATGATCACAGGGACATAGGTCACTTTTTTCAGTGCCGCCGTAAGTTTGAATATTCACTAAATGAATGGCTGTAAATGGGAGAACTGCCTGTATCCATTTTCTTTGCTTGCTCGGTTTATAATTCTCCCGTTTTCTTTTTGGATTTCCTGTGGAGATGTTAGATAAATTGAAGGACCGCTGGCTGCACACTAGCTTGTGGGAAAAGCTGGAGCTGATCAAAATAGTCCTTGTGGAACCCAAAGGAGGCGACAAATCTGATTTTGATGAGCTGCTTCAAATATACTCCGATGCCATCAAGTCTCAGAATGGCAGAGGTAAGTAAAAATGCAGAAAGGGGGGGGGGAACCTAGCTGGAACCTAGGTTGATTGGAACAAGATTCCTCCATATTACAGATAGTCCTCACCTTACGACCACAATTGGAACCGGAAGTTCCTGATGTGGTTCCGGCTAATGAAACATTCCAAAGAACTTCCAGGCATTGATTTTCCTAAAAGTCTTTTATTGTTACAAAATGTCGGCCCAGGCACAACGGAGGGATGGTAGGATCTAAGTTCTCTTCCTCTGAGCAGTTAAATTATCAGCATGTTCCCTCCCTAAATTAGCCCTCATATCTCACATTATCCAATTAGTGTGAAGGTCAAATGTTTTCTTCCTCTTTCTTTCCCGGCTTTACCCCCAACACCCCTTCTGCTCTTTATTAACCCCATATTTACCAGACAATTCTGCATATTGTCAAAAGCAAGAATATACAATATTTGCAGCGTTGACAGTTCCATTGCTAAACGAGAAGGTTGTAAAGTGAGTTGTGTTTGATTTTACAGCCTCTTTGCCAGGGTTGTTGTTGAGTGGCTCACCAGTGTTGTAAAGTAAATCACACAGTCGTAACGCTTCCCCCATTTACTTTGCTTGTCAGAAGGCCAGTGGGAAAGTTGCAAAAGGGGATCATATGACCCTGGGACAGTGCAACCGACATAAATACCCTGTTTCCCCAAAAATAAGGCCTACTACCCTGAAAAGAAGCCCTAGTTTGATTTTTGGGGGTGGGCCTAATATAAACCCCACCCCAAAAATAAGCCCTAGTCTGGGGCGAGGTACACACCTAAAAATAAAGCTAGAGCAGGGGTGGGGAGGTGGAGCTGGCCCACACGCCCCACACCCACTTACCTCACAGCTAGGCCTCTCCTTGCCAGCCCACTTCTGCGGCGTTTTCTGCAGCCAGGCCTGCATTTCTCAGTCACAAGCCTTTCCAGAAGGTCACTCCAGCCAAGAATCAAGTTATGGATTGAATCCATAGCTCGATACTCAGCTGCAGAGGCCTTCCGGAACAGCCTGAGTGCAAAATGCAGGCCCGAATGCAGCTGCAGAACTTCGGCCCCAGAAGAAGTGGACCGGCTAGGTGGGGCTGTCGGTGCCGGAGGTGAGTAAAAAAGACACACACACCGAAAATAAGACCTGGTGCCTCTTTTGGAGGCAAAAAAAATATAAAAAAATTAAGACCTGGTCTTATTTTTTGGGAAACCCGGCATGTGCCAGTTGCCGAGCATCTGAATTTTGATCATGTGACCACGGAGATGCTGCCACAGTCCTAGGTCACCTTTTTCACTGTTGGTGTAACTTCAAATGGTCCCTAAATGAATGGTTGTAAATCAAGGGCTACCTGTATGACGTTAGATGGCTGTGTTCTTTCGCTTCAGACGGAGCGCTGCTTATAGCTGTGTGCAGAGGCAAAGTCAGCGAAGGCCTGGATTTCTCCGATGACAACGCCCGGGCGGTTCTCACCATTGGAATTCCATTTCCAAACTTAAAAGATCTTCAGGTAGGAGACGCTTAAAATCACCTGTGGAGTATTTTATCAAGGAAGAAGTGAAGTCCTGAATGAATAAATTGTCGAATGTCCACAATGTGGTGTTATTTTGCTGTGTGTGTGTGTGTGTGTGTGTGTGTGAGTGTATGTTTCAACAAAGTCTCATTCGTCATCTTCAGGCTGGTGCTTTCGGCTTCGTGCTTCTAGGAGCAAAGAAGCACAAAGCCAAAAGCACCACCCTGAAGATGACGAATGAGACTTCGTCGAAACGTCGCCAAGACACTTCCAATTTGACGCGAGAGAAAACCCAAATAACCAAAGACCTACATACAAACACCCGCGAAAACCTCAGAAAACATATATATATATATATAGTATTTTATTTCTAATTTTACAATTAAGTATTTAAAAAGCAACGTGGTGACTGGATTAATCAACAGTTCAATAAGATACAAAAGTCTTTAGTATAAATCTCAAGTTACAACATCAAATATTTCCTCTCTTTTTCCCTGAATATCTACTATCTCAAATTAGGCTAATGCAGTTCTTATTGTTATCAACTAAGTAAAAACATCTTTGTTCCATTTATCAATAATTTTTAGCTTATACGCATCTTAATTGTGTTTGCATTCAACCCTTATATACAATCAATGTCCTGTTATTGATTTTTTTCCCAAGCTTTAATTTCCCATCACTATTCAAATTAACATTTAGTATTTATAATTTCCAAGCTTTTTTTGGGGAGAGCAGAATAACAGTTGGTAATACAGATGCTCATCCAAGGTTCTGTTTATCTTTGTGATTATTGTGAATAGTCTTATTAGTGAGAAGAAATACAGGTAGTCCCACAACAGAGCCCCAAATTGCTGTTGTTGCTTACAGTTGTTAAGTGAGTTTTAACCTATTTTGCGACCTTTTTCGCCACAGTTGTTAAGGGAATCACTGCAGTTGCTAAGATAGTAACACGGTTGTTAAGTGAATCTGGCTTCCCCGTTGACTTGGCTTGTCAGAAGGTCCCCAAAGGGGATCACATGACCCCCGGGACACTGCGACCGTCATAAATATGAGTCACTTGCCACGAGTCCGGATTTTGATCACGTGACCCTGGGGATGCTGCAACGGTTGTTAAGTGTGAAAAATAAGTCACTTTTTTCAGTGCTGTTGTAACTTTGAACGGTCACTAAATGAATAGTTATAAGTAGAGGGATACTTGTACGTGATGTCCATCCAAGATTCTGTGATTGTTATCTTTGTGATTATTGTGAATAGTCTTCTGATTAAGAATAAGTAGAATTTAACAGATCTTAGTTTTTTTTCCTGTGCCTTTGCTTCAGGACTGAGTTTCTAGATCAGTGATGGCGAACCTTTTAGAGACCGAGTGCCCAAAAACTGGCACCGCCCCCACTTCACCCCCTGCCCCACTCCACCCCCCATCCCCTGCCCCGTCTGCCCACAGGACCACTCACTGCCTCCAGGGCCCGCTGCAGATCGCCCAGGCAGCCCAGCAGCGCTATGGCGGCCACGCCCTCTAACCGCACCCTGCAGCATCAACTGTGCACGATGGGGTGTGAGCGCAGAGTCTTGTCTATGCTGCCTGGCTGCCATGTCCTTGGCTGCGCTGCTCCATGTGGGCCACACTCGGGGGCGACTCACCTCCAAGGGGGCTGCTGGAGAGGAGGGGGTCGTGGTGGGAGGCAAGGCTGGGGCAACGGCACGTCTGCCCACAGAGAGGGCTCCAAGTGCCGCCTCTGGCACCCGTGCCATAGGTTCGCCACCACTGTTCTAGATTATCCTGGATGATTTTTCCTTCCTTCCCTAGATAGAAATTGACTACTACCTGAAGTCAATTTACAGTATAAGTTGAGCGGTCTTTGAAATGGCAATCCCATAAGCTCGAGATACCGCGACCGTCATTAATACATGCCAGTTGCCAAGCGCCCAAATTTTCATCATGTAACCTGCACTTAAAATAATCTTTATGCTCTAGAACAGAGGTCCCCAACCTTTTGGGCACCAGGGACCGGTTCCATGGAGAGAGGTTTTTCCGCGGACCGGAGAGTGCATGGTTTTGTGTGCTGCCTGCATCTCACGGATGGGGCTTTGCTTGTTTGTGAGGACCGGTTGCTGGCATGCTGCGGCCCAGTACCAGTCGACGGACCAGGGGTTGGGGACCCCTGTGATAGATGGTAGGTAAGTAGGTAGGAAGAGAGAGAGAGGGAGAAGGAGAGGGAGAGGGAGGAAGGGAGATGATAGGGGGAGAGAGGGGGAGAAGGAGAGGAAGAGGGAGAGGGAGGAAGGGAGATGATGGGAGAGAGAGGGAGAGGGAGGAAGGGAGATGATAGGGGGAGAGAGAGGGGGAGAAGGAGAGGAAGAGGGAGAGGGAGGAAGGGAGATGATAGGGGGAGAGAGGGAGAGGGAGGAAGGGAGATGATAGGGGGAGAGAGGGGGGAGAAAGAGAGGGAGGAGGAAGGGAGATGATAGGGGGAGAGAAGGAGAGGGAGAGGGAGGAAGAGAGAGAGAGGGAGAGGGAGGAAGGGAGATGATGGGGGAAAGAGAGAGAAGGAGAGGGAGAGGAAGGAAGGGAGATAGGGGGAGAGAGAGAGGGAGAAGGAGGGAGAGGGAGGAAGGGAGATGATGGGAGAGAGAGAGGGGGAGAAGGAGAGGGAGGAAGGGAGATGATAGGGGGAGAGAGAGGAAGAGGGAGGAAGGGAGATGATGGGGGAGAGAGAGAAGGAGAGGGAGAGGGAGGAAGGGAGACGATGGGAGAGAGAGAGAGGGAGAAGGAGAGGGAGGGAGATGATAGGGGGAGAGAGAGGGAGAGGGAGGAAGGGAGATGATAGGGGGAGAGAGGGAGAAGGAGAGGGAGGAAGGGAGATAGGGGGAGAGAGGCAGGAAGGGAGAGAGAGAGGGAGAAAGAGAGGGAGGAAGGGAGATGATGGGAGAGAGAGAGGGGGAGAAGGAGAGGGAGGAAGGGAGATGATAGGGGGAGAGAGAGGAAGAGGGAGGAAGGGAGACGATGGGAGAGAGAGAGAGGGAGAAGGAGAGGGAGGGAGATGATAGGGGGAGAGAGAGGGAGAGGGAGGAAGGGAGATGATAGGGGGAGAGAGGCAGGAAGGGAGAGAGAGAGGGAGAAGGAGAGGGAGGAAGGGAGATGATAGGGGGAGAGAGAGCGAGAGAGCAATGTTTCCCAATCTTGGTAACTTTAAGATGGATGGACTTCAACTCTCAGAATTCCCCCAGACAGCCATCTTAAGAGTTGTCAAGGTTGGGAAACACTGATTTGGATAGATAGAAATATTAAATAGATATAGTAGGTAGGTGACAGATATGGATGGATAGATGATAGATAGAATAGGTAGATGATAGACAGACAGAGAGACAGACGGGAGGGAGGGAGATGATAGGGGGAGGGGGAGAGCGCAAGCGCAATGTTTCCCAATCTTGGTAACTTTAAGACCGGTTCCGTGGAGAGAGATTTTTCCGCGGACAGGAGGGTTCGTGGTTTTGTGTGCTGCCTGCATCCCGTGGATGGGGCTTTGCTTGTTTGTGTGGACCGGTTGCTGGCATGCTGCAGACCTGGGGTTGGGGACTCCTGCTCTAAAACCACTCCATCCCTGCTGATTTTGTAAAAATTGGAACTGTGCATAGATCTTTAAAGTATGTTGTCAGCCAGGGATGCTGAAAACTGCCTACCATTTTACAATGTAGACTACTTTGCAAGAAAGTAGAATAACAGAATTGGACAGGCATTTGGAGGTCATCTAGTCCAACCCCCTGCTCAGGCAGGAAACCCTATAGCATTTCAGACAAATTGTTGTCTGTTCTTTTCTTGAAAACCTCCAGTGTTGGAGCACCCAGAACTTCTGAAGGTAGGTTGTTCCACTGGTTAATTGTTCTCACTGTCAGGAAGTTTCTCCTTAGTTCTAGGTTGCTTCTCTCCTTGGTTAGTTTCCATCTGTTGCTTCTTATCCTGCCTTCAGGCGCTTTGGAGAAGAGCTTGACCCCCCTCTTCTTTGGGGCAGCCCCTCAAATATTGGAACACTGCTATCATGTCACCCCTCCTCCTTCTCTTCTTTAGACTAGACATACCCAATTCCAGCAACCGTTCCTTATATGTTTTAGCCTCCAGTTTGATATGCAGGTTCTGAGGTTTTGCTGGTTAAAGAAATACAGGAAACCAGAAAGTGCCTTTTAAGTTTTACGTGGTTATTCAGCTAAATAGAGACAGACTGCTCTAAAATGAGAGGAGCCCTGGATGACAAGAAATCCTCTTATTTATTCTGTATAATTACATAAGCAACCCATCCAGCAAAGCTGACACATATAAGATAAAGATTGCACCCAGTAAGTCTGGCATACTGTAGATAAGAAGGGAGAAAGCAGAATTAGCTAAACATGTTCTCATTTGAGTGTCACTTAAAGATATTGTATGTTCTTGGGTGGGTTAGGACATTGGGTGTTGTTCTTGCTATCCTTTCCTGACCCTGAATCCTGGATTACAAGTGACCAAAGAGAGAAGCCATCTGTATGTATTCACAATTAATACTGTCCCCTAATTCCTGTTCATCACAGTCCCTGATCATCTTCGTTGCTCTTCTCTGCATTCTTTCCGGAGTCTCACCATCTTTTTTACATGGTGGCAAAAAAGCCTATCACCTATTGCTCTTACATCCAGGTTGTTTTACTAAAGCATGGTTCTCAACCTTTTTAATGCCGTGACCCCCCCCCCCAACCGGTCGTAAGTCGAGGACTTTCCCTGCCTGGGAGTGCCGCGCATGCGTGGTGCTGCTCCCTGCGCCGGCCGAGGCGTAGATAGCAAGGAGCAGCGACGGCACAGAGCGACCACCGGCTGGGCCACCAGCTGGCCCAGCCCAAGGGAGGTAAGGCACCCGCCGGGCCCCACGCGTGCCAGCAACTCTCCCTGCGCCCGCCAGCCTCCGACCTCCCACCCCTGGCCCTCTTTTACTTACACTTTTAGTAGCTGCTCAGCAGGGAGGGGTGGAAACTTCCAG